AAATTTGAAGAGAATGAAGGTCTAGGTGACATGAATATACGTGCAGCATATTTTGCCGATATGACGTAGGATTGCCTATTTACACGGGACTTAAATTTTAAGAAAACGTCATACATACCTTTCTTTAAAGTGCTGTATCTTGGAGACCTTTTAACGCAGCTTAATGAAACAAAATGTATTTCTTCCGTCTTATTATGGGCTTTAATTGTGCATTTATTACATTAATGTGTAATGTATTCGTTAATTTTGAGCTCCAGGCCGGTTATTAAATAAAACATAGATTTTGGTAGTTTTATTTATTACATTTATTGCTGTCGATATTTCGCCTTCAATCTGAAGGCATCTTCAGGAATCGATTGAGTCGATTGGAAAAACTCAATAATTCCTGAAGATGCCTTCAGATTGAAGGCGAAATATCGACAGCAATAAATGTAATAAATAAAACTACCAAAATCTATGTTTTATTTAATAACCGGCCTGGAGCTCAAAATTAACGAATACATTACACATTAATGTAATAAATGCACAATTAAAGCCCATAATAAGACGGAAGAAATACATTTTGTTTCATTAAGCTGCGTTAAAANATTAAGTAAACCTTTTTCTTTTTGATTTCTTTTTTGATTATAGCATTTTTAAAAAATTTTATTTTTACATATAAACATTGTCTATAATGTCAACTTTAAGTATCCAAATGGGCATAATGGGCTACTTATGCATTTGGACTCTAGATCGTGTAACGCTAGAGCAATATGATAAATAGACATTGAAATTTTATGAAATTGTATATTTTTGAAAGAGGAAAGGTGTGTAAAAAACAAAAACAATATGAATAAATCGTATTAACTTTACTAAAGGCTGAAATCATGAAAATCCCTTCAAGGAAATAACAGAATTGAACTTTGTTGCAACTTCGTATGGAAAATCTGCTTACGACGTGATTGGAGGATATTTTAAGAGACTAGCAGCTAGAGCAGGTATTCAACTCCTGATGTTACAACAAATACGTACACCCGAAGCCCTTTACCAATGGGATGCGTGTAAAAAATAACTGCAACTAACTTTTCAGTGGACTTTGTTGTGACTATGACTACGTGCCAATTATTTTAATATTATTTTAAGCTAGTTTAAAAGTGTAAATAACATCAAGTTAGGGAACTTCATATCCTTATTTAACGAATCTTTAAATCAATAAATAATTTTTTTTCTTTTTAGTTCTTATTGTAATAAAAGGGTGTTGTTGTTTTTTTTTAAACTATGATTTTATTACTCATTAGGTTTATTTTTTACACACCTTTCCTTTCCTTCTTTTAATAAAAGGACTAACCTTGAAGCTATCATGGGAGGTCTAATATCCTTTCGCAATGAGCGTTGTTCATGTTGATGTTGTTGATGTTTCGGTTTCATTGCAAAAGGATATTACATCTCTAATGATAGCTTCAAGGTTAGTCCTTTAATTAAAACAAGAAAATTGAAAGGTGTGTAAAAAAATAAACCTAATGAGTAATAAAAGTATTACTTAAAAAAAACCAACAACACGCTTTTAGAACTAAAAAGAAAAACAATATTTATTGATTTAAAAATTCGTTAAATAAGGATATGAAATTCCCTAACTTGATGTTATTTAAACTTTTAAACTAGCTTAAAATAATATTAAAGTAATTGGCACGTAGTCATAGTCAAAACAAAGTCCACTGAAAAGTTAGTTGCAGTTATTTTTTACAGGCATGCCATTGGTAGAGGGCTTCAGGTGTACGAATTTGTTGTAACATCAGGAGTTGAATACCTGCTCTAGCTGCCAGTCTATTAAAATATCCTCCAATCACGTCGTAAGCAGATTTCCCATGCGAAGTTGCAACAAAGTTCAATTCTGCCATTTCCTTGAAGGGATGTTCATGATTTCCGACATTTAGTAAAGTTAATACGATTTATTCATATTGTTTTTGTTTTTTACACACCTTTCCTCTTTCAATAATATAAAATTTCATAAAATTTCAATGTCTATTTATCACACTGCTCGAGCGTTAGACGATCCAGAGTCCAAATGCATAAGTAGCCCATTATTATGCCCATTTGGATACTTAAAGCTGACATTATAGACAATGTTTTTATGTAAAAATAAAAATTTTTAAAAATGCTATAATCAAAAAAAAAATCAAAAAGAAAAATGTTTACTTAATTTTTTTTTGTTTTTTATACATTTCACATTAATGTAATAAATGCACAATTAAAGCCCATAATAAGGCGGAAGAAATACATTTTGTTTCATTAAGCTGCGTTAAAAGGTCTCCAAGATACAGCACTTTAAAGAAAGGTATGTATGACGTTTTCTTAAAATTTAAGTCCCATGTAAATAGGCAACCCTACGTCATATCGGCAAAATATGCTGCACGTATATTCATGTCACCTAGACCTTCATTCTCTTCAACTTTCATCCAAATCCGTAGAGGTCGCGCACAGACGTGGCCGCGGTGACATGAAATGCCTCATATACTTAGCTGTTTTGACTCGACCATTGGAAACGCTGAAAATCATGTCTTGAGACAGCGACTCGACAATTCTTTGACAGTTGGAGCTTTTTTGCCGTCTGGAAGATTCTCCGCATAGCAGAGTGAGATTGAAGTATGCGACTCCATCTGGGATGCTACATGCTCCTATCATCAAATTGCTGGTGGTTAGATGATCCGGTAATTGTTCGGTTTTCATCAAAAGAATATCTTCTCTGAGGTAGATTTATTAATTTATTTATTTATTAGCCAATGAATTCAAAATTCTTACTGACTAGGAAGGCTAAGCTATAATTACTTAAAATTATCGCTTAAACATAATGGCGCATATTCATAGTCATATTTAGTACTCAACTAAGTCGAAACTATTCTAAGTCACAACTAAAGCTATTCATAGTCGCCTTAGTTTCGACTTTTCTGGCTAAGTACCAACTTAAAATTTAGTTTCGGCTGCAGCTGCAACTAAGTCGTAACTAGGAAGAAGTATTTTATCAAATTAAGGGAAAACAGACGAAATATGTAAAAATTAAGTTGGTAGAGGGTGATTTTGATAATATTGAATAATCTCCAATTAAAATTTACAAAGATCGATCCATTTTAATCGGAAGATGAAATTAAATGCGTATTACAATTCGAATAAAGCTACATCACAATTTTATAATTGGAATAATTTAGATAAATTTTCAAATAATAAGTCAGTTTCACGCTAGTTCTTTTAAAGTAAATTTGTGCATAACATTTAGATATCTACTATTTGTATGTTTCACAGCATGCTTTCGATAAACATCGACTTCACATCACTGCGGTTGTTCTGGCTATTTCACACAATTAACAAGAAAATGATACCTTATTCTTTTGCATAATCATGCAATGAAAATAAAAATTACATAAACGGATGATCAAACTTGACATTATTTAATAAAAATGTAATTTTTCCAAAATATCGTAAAGAGAAGTTGATACATTTTCACACTCGTTTTGCTATATCGTAAACTAATTCGAAACTACTTAGTAGAAGTCTGAAATGCGACTATGAATAGAGGTAAATTTTAAGTTGGTACTTAAATTTAAGTTGCAACTTTGTTAGTTTCGACTTAGTTGCTGGACTATGAATACGCGCCAATGTTATAGGACCCCTCGGAAGCGAGATATCCAGACCACTACACTGATTAAGCTCAGTTAATCTTCTAACTAAAGGCGCATTAAGAGTATAATAAGGAATCCACACGTCTAAGACTTCTCGCCGGAACATTAAAATGTATCCTACTCAGAAGTGCAGGGCAGTCAACAAACCCACCTATAACACTAGTCACAAAAGAGCAAGACAAAAATGTCCTTCTGTTATTCAAGGATGACAAGTCTATGAGCATGCACCGTGAGCTATAGGATGGAACTGGTTCCGTGAATTTTAAAGAAGAAAGTGCAAAACGTATAAACGATTTCTGAATACGTTCTAGTCGATTAATATGTGTAGCATGGTAAGGTCTCCATATAAAAGTATCTTATTCTAGCCGTGATCGAACATAGGCAGTGTAGAGGGTTTTAAATGTATACGGATCAGAAAAACAAGAACCATTATGACGAATAAAAGCAAGCATAGCATACGATTTTGCTAGAGATAAAATCACGCGCCTATCAATAGGGCTATTCGCGATTCGGTGCATAAGAGCTGACAAATTTATGCAATTGCAGAAATATGCCATGGATTCTGAGCGACCTTTATTAAACTGTCATGGTAAAGCTTTTGCAAAACCATTTTTGTGCATCAGCTTTGGTTTTGTTTATGAATGCAATGCATAGCATTTTTATGCTATGGATTTTCGGTATTGCAAATTTGCCAAGCAATGACAAATGCAAATGCGTGTATTTTGTTTGTGTATTGCAAATAATTTGCAATACAAATTTGCAATGCAATGATGCTAGGCCATTTGCACCGGATCGCGAATAGCCCTAATGTCTCGAAAATCGCTATCGTGTAATGCGACACCTGAGTAAGGTTTTACAAACTTCTCAGAGCTTTTTTTTATAACTACAATCTCTTTCTTGAACCTGGTGAGAAGTTTTTCTTCAAAATGACGCGAGGGACTATCTGACAGAAAATGATTTTGATCTTGATCTTGAACTGCACGTAAGAACTCAACATACATTTGTTTCAGAAACTTCAAGGAATGCATGTGCGATTTAGCGATTACAAAGTCTTTCACAAAGCATACGATTTTTTCGAAGGCTTTCGCTGCGATTTCTCTCTTTTCATGCCATACTCCTTTGGGAGTGTCATCTTTGATAAGCGACTTACTTTTGTTGATGCACTTAACTTTACAAATATGATAGTATCAGATACAAATATGAAGGGATTCTGCCGTAATTATGCGGTCGGTGAGATCAGTGTCGCCAGATTCTAGGGCACTCATTTTTAATGAAGATAGTACCTCTTTTTTGTGGCACTTGCTCAGCTTTTGCCAACGGCCTTGATACTTTTTCCTCTCTTTACAGAATCACTGAAAGATGAACCTTGAGAAATTTCGTTTTTCGTTCCCGTTGATTCCATGGTTTCGTTGTTCTGAGGATTTGGTGCATCCTGAGGATCTTGGTTAGGTTCCTTTATGACTACAAGATTCATCGCTTCGTTCAGTTCGCATGATTTCTCGTTCAACATAACACTTTCGTTTTTGACCAACGACGATAAAATAAGGTTATTTTAAAATTTTTTATTACATAGTGTTTGCGTTCATTGTTTATAGTAAAAAATGTAGTAATTACTAAATTAAACTATCTTGAAATGTTCTAAATTATACTTAGTATTTCCCCACGTAAGCACTTGTACTAGACTTAAATTTGTATGTACACTCCACAAAAATACAACCTTGTACCAATGCAACTATGTAAGAATGAAACGAAATGAAAGAATAAATTTTGGCTTGGCGTCAGTCTTCAACCGACATTTGACGTGCGCAGTATACTATTAATACAGTCCAAAGTCTTTGAATTTTTATGAGTGAATTTGAACCATCATTTATTGGTCCATCGAGCCGAATTGTCGGTCGAGATAAGTAAAAACATTTTATAATAGTTCATTGGTCAATAGTTCAGTGCATTGATGTGTAAAAAGACAAATTAAAATGAAAATCAGAGTACCCCAGCAACAAGACAGTGTAAGCAACAAAAAGTGTACAAATGTGTGTATGTACAATCGCATACAAAGTCAATCGAATGGTGTATAAGTACATATGTCTATTGTGTTCAGCAGAGCACCCCAGCAACAAGACAGTATTCATATTGGAATCGCACAGCGCAACATTGATGTACTGGTGTAAGAAGCAGTAATGTTAAATTCAAATTAAATCTGAAAAGACAGTGTAAGAAATAAGAATTGTACAAGTGTAGATACAGTTTGATGCAAAGCTAATCGTGTATGGCGTGTAAGAAGCTTACAATAGCATCTACTGTGCCTAGCGGAACACCAAGTCAGTGTATCAGTCATCGTAGAGTAAACGTCCAGCAGAACATCCAATGAAGAAGTACCAGTGAACAAGTCAACATATGTATGTCAGCGGAGCACCTCAGCCATAAAGTACTGGTAACATAATTTATTGACAGTAGCGTACAGATTCATATTGGAATCTTGCATGATAGCATTGATGCAATTGATGAAAATCAGTAATGTTAAATTGAATTTAGAATACTTATTACATTAACATACATTTACAATCCAAACATTTGTAATATTGTACTTCGTAAGAAAATTAAAACAGTTCGCATGCAAATTACATAAGTCGTAACAAATTTCGTAAGACTTATTTAACAGATTCGGCGAAGCAGTGGTAACATTACATAAATCACAAATCACTGATAACAACATAACTTGTTGACTGTAGCATACAGATCCTTATTGGAATCTTACATCGCAACATTGATGTAATTGGTAAAAATTAGCAATGTCAAATTCAATTTAGACTATTCTTAACAGTATCATTCATTCACAATCCAAACAATTATAACATTGTACATTGTATGGAAATCACATGCGTAGCAACATGTGTGGTTCGTGAGGCATTGAGAAAAAAAATAAAAATATTATAATAATAAAAGCTTCAAATAGGGTTATAACATACATATTTCGTAAGCAATTTAAGCATGTATACTTGGAGTCACAACATTAAAGATCCGTAAGACAATTCAAGCAGTTTAGTTAGAATCATAACAGAACAAATTACGTGTAACAGTTCAAACCTTTAGATTGGTGTGATAACATAGACGAATAAGTTCAGTAGCTTCCAAACTACAAAAAACAAAAAACCAAAGAAAATCGAATGTATTACAGTGCTCTTTAAACGTACATGTCGACATAAATAACGAGAATTTGTGTAAGAGGAACTATGAAGAATAGTATTCAATCATTTTTATAAGTCTTATACTTCTACATACATATTTCCAGTAAGTGGCAAACAATTAAATTTAAACATAGTCAGTTGTAAACTATAAACAATGGAGGAGTTAAAGCTAAAACGTCAAACCATAAAAGGGTCTATTACGCGTATTTCATCTTATTGTCAAAATGTAAATAATACTCTTGACGAGATAAAAGTCAGAGTAGATAAGTTAGAGTCATTATTTCATGAATATGAACATATACAGAGCAATATAGACACTCTTACAAGTTCAGAGAACAGGGTTGTGGAGGAAAACTATCGCAGTGATATGGAAGACAAATATTTTTCAATTAAGGCAATTTTAGCGTCTCGAATTCGTGAAGATCAATTTGAGAACACAGTAGTTGAAAATCAGAACCAAAATGAGCAGATTGCGAGTGTGTCCAGTGCAGTGCAGGCGTTAGTGGAACATCAGAGTACGTTGGGTGTGTTGGTTGAGCGATTGGCGTCACCATGCAATGATGCAAATGCGGCCCCAATGGCTCAACATCCAAATTCAAGACAACAAGAAATCCGGTTGCCTCGTATACAGATTCCAGAATTTGATGGAGCCTACATAAATTGGATACACTTTCGTGATTTGTTTGAGGTTATGATTCATACTAAATCGAGTTTAGCAGACATAGAAAAATTTGAGTATCTGCTGACGAAGCTAAAAGGTGAAGCTTTATCGTTAGTTAAACACTTAAAGCCAACAAATGAAAATTACAAAGTAGCATGGGAGTTGCTTTACAAAAAATACAATGAAAGTGATAAGGTGTAGAAGGCGTATGTAGGTTTGTTACTTGATCAGCAAGCAATTAAAGCACCAACATTGGGTGAGATCAAACGTCTGTATAATAACTCAAACGAGAGTATTAATGCATTAAAGGCTCTGGGTGAGGCGGTGGATCAATGGGATGCACTGCTGCTGTATTTATTTGAGAAAAAACTTGACTCTGAGACATCAACCCTTTGGTATAGGAGTAGGAGCGCAGAAAAAGAAAGCACATTTACTCAGTTAATGTCATTTTTAGAGCTACGCATTTTTGAACTAGAAAATATACAAGCAAACAATTTAAATAGGAATTATGTAAAAACTTTTAACACAGCACAAAGCAATCGTCAACAATCGCAATCAAAAGTATATACATCACAAATAAAGCAATGTCCGGTGTGTTCAAAAAATCACTTAATATACCAATGCGATAAATTTTGGTGGAAAAACAGTGGATGAACGGATTCAAATAGTGCGTGAGAATGATCTGTGCTTTAATTGTCTCAAAGACAATCATCGAGCATTTAGTTGCATGTCGTCCTTATGTAAGGAATGCAACAAAAAGCACAATTCATTATTGCATCCAACACAAGGCAACCCCAATGAAAACAATTTTCCACAAAGACAAGTAGATGCAGTGTCAATAAATTTATCGAATGTACAAAATGAATATATTACGTTATTGCCCACTGCAGTAGTTAAGGTATTAGATAACAATGGCCAGTATCAAACATGCCGGGCATTAATTGATTCAGGAGCACAGGTGTCGCTCATACGCGAAGCGTGTATGCAGCGGTTAAGTTTGAAAAGAAGTTTCAATAATACAATAATTCATGGTGTTGGTAAAGCTGTTAATAGTCGTTGTAGGGGTGAAGTAAAACTGAAGATATGTTCATCCAATTTAAAGCATGCTATTACAACAAGTGCATTTTGTCTCTCAGATTTAACGCAGGATTTACCAGGAAAGAAAGTACGTAGTGAGAAGTTAATCTATTTTCGTCACCTCCATTTAGCCGATAAAAATTACGACACACCAAATGGTATAGACATAATATTAGGTGCAGATGTTTTCGCAGAATGCGTTTTGTCTAATAAGTTAGTTCATCCAAGTGGTTCACCTTCAGCAGTCGAAACAATATTCGGGTGGATAATACTTGGAAAAATAGATTACAGTCAATCATGTCATATTTTTGTTGGTACCGCAGCACTTGATCCAAATGTTCAATTACAAAAATTTTGGGAAGTCGAAGAAATTCAACAAACGAATCAATTATTAACAATTGAGGAACAACAAGCGGAAGAACATTACATCAGGTCTGTTAACCGTGCAAGCAATGGTAGATATATAGTTAGATTGCCCTTTAAAGAAGTAATTCCCGAGATTGGAAGCTCAAAGTTAGCAGCAATGAATCGATTACATCTAATGGAAAAGAGGTTTCAGAAAAATGAAATGTTAGCAATTGAGTACAAACAATTTATACATGAGTATATCACGATGAATCATATGGAACTAGTAGCAGATAGAAATACACAAATCGAGTATTATCTTCCTCACCACGCCGTGCTTAAACCAAATAGTACAACTACAAAACTCAGAGTAGTTTTTGATGCGTCTTGCAAGTCATCAAATGGGAAATCACTTAATGATCAGCTAATGATAGGAGCTACGGTGCAGAAAGATTTATTTTCATTATTGGTTCAGTTTCGCAAGTTTAAAATTGGGTTTACAAGTGATATAGAAAAAATTTATAGACAAATTTTGGTTCATAAAGAAGACAGATGCTATCAGCGGATTCTATGGAGAGAAAAAAATGATGAGGAAGTACAAACATATGACTTGAAAACAGTCACATACGGTACGGCTTGTGCACCATTTTTAGCAACAAGAACCCTGAAACAAATAGGAATTGAAAATTCACGTTTATTCCCAGAAGCAAGCAAGGCAATAATAAATTGTTTTTATGTAGACGACTTCATGTTTTGTGCAGAAGAAATAGGTGCTGCTATTAACTTAAAAACTGATGTTTGTAAATTACTAACGCAAGCAGGGTTTCGTTTGCGTAAGTGGTGCTCGAACTCACCAGAATTTCTTTCTACCATCGATTCAATAGATCGGGAGACGTCAGCAGCAACAATTATCGATGACACTCAGACAGTAAAAACGTTAGGTTTGTTATGGGATACGGCTTGTGACTCCTTTAAATATAGCGTCACCTTAAGCGAATTACAAGCGCAAGTCACAAAACGCACAGTATTATCAGATATTTCAAAGGTGTTCGATCCACTAGGATGGTTGTTACCAGTCGTTGTGTCAATGAAACTTTTAATGCAGCAGCTGTGGCTTAAAGGAATTGATTGGGAAGCAGCGTTGCCTAGTGATATGTTTTCACACTGGTGCGAGTTGAGAAGGGGTATCAATGACATTCGCGATATCCGAATCCCTAGATGGGTAAAGTACAAAAGTGGTGAAATGTTGGAGCTTCATGGGTTCGCAGATGCGTCTGAGATGGCTTATGCTGCAGCAGTTTATTTAAAGGTCCACCACTTAGATGGTTTGGTGTCAACAAATCTCATAGCATCCAAAAGTCGTGTAGCACCTATTAAACAAATAACATTACCACGACTTGAGCTGTGTGCTGCTCAGCTTATGACGAAACTGATTGTAAAGGTTAAAGAAGCCCTTGAGGTTGATCAAGTACCAATATTTGGTTACTCAGATTCCACTATTGTGTTGGCCTGGCTAAGTGATTATCCACGACGATGGAAAACATTTATTGCTAATAGAACTTCATATATCCTTGATATTATACCACGACAAAATTGGCGTCATATTTCCTCACATCAGAACCCCGCGGATTTAGCAACTAGAGGTATTACCGCTTGTAATTTGATTAATAGTAATATTTGGTGGCACGGACCCAACATTTTGTGTACCAATCACAATTGGGAGCAGGTTGGGCTTGAACTTCCAAACGAAATGCAGTTGGAAGAAAGACATATGATGTTATGTCATACTGCTGCAAAACACGTAGACGACTTATTTGAACGGTTTTCAAATTTTGAAAAGTTATTGTCAATTTCAGCATACATTTTAAGATTCGCGACAAATTGTAAAACAGACAAATTGAATAGAATAACAGGATTTTTAAGTGTACAAGAGCTTCGTAATGCTCATGATGTTTTAATTAAGAAGGCTCAGATGGAGTCGTTCTCTTCAGAAATTCAGACCTTGTTGTCTGGTAAATCTCTTTCGGTGAAACATAAGTTATCTGCACTAACACCGTTTATTGATCAGAATCATTTGCTTCGTGTTGGTGGAAGGATTGAGAACGCGAATATTAGCTATGATCAAAAA